CGTTCTTTTCTTCCATGAAAATTGAGCCATTGTTAGAACGAGAAAGAAAGCATAGAATGAAATAAATATCAAAGAAAAAAAAGAGAGAGTAGTATAGAGAGAAACATGTGTATGAGCTGGCATCTTTCTTCGTAAACCATGGATAGGATGGATCCCTGTTTGCGAAATCATTTTTTAATCTTATTTTACTGGTTTAACTTTACAAATATTCAGATATTTAGTTGATAAATGCCGGAATAGGGTTTGCACGTGTTTCGCTTAAAAGAAACAAAGAAAAAACACTTTATAATTGGTTTACTTCATTTGTAAATAGAAATAATGTATCAAAGCACGTTTTTTTACGATATTATTGTTTTCCTTTACGAAAAACTCTATTATTTTGTAAACAACAATCAGAATCATTGAGAAAATCGAAAAACATGCGGCGTGATAGTATTATTAAGATTTCTTATCCATAGAAAAAGGTAGACACCTATAAGTTTTTTATTATTCATGATTAAATAGGTAGACTAACTTGACAAAATTTCAAATAGTTGGCTTTTGTTAAGTCCGAAAACAATGTGTTTTAAAAATTGTTACAGAACTGCTGGTCCACTCCTGTCCGTGCTTGTCAATTTCGTTTTCGCAACCATTCAGTGATTTCATTCTTTCTGAATATTTATTATTTATATTGATGTACATATATATTGTAGGTTTCTTCACAGAATGTCGTTGAAAAAACGGTATGGGTCAAGGAAAGACCTACACTCACACTTATCTACATCGATGCTACCATACGGCACTGTAAAAAGTAGTTGGTATAATGATTGGAAAATAAATACAACCATAACGTGGTTTTGCCAAACAAATGTCTTTCTAAAAGTATTGTTCACATTTAAAAAAAGTATTTGAATTCTCATACTATTTTATTGAATAGAGAAATCATGCAATTATCTCAATAACATCGATGCAAATATTCTAAATGCATAATTCAACTGATATAAGTATTTATAATGGATGTACGCTAAACTTAGGGAACGACTCAAATCCACACCCAATCCAAATCTACCATGAGTTTCTCAAAATTTTGAACGTAATTTTTTTTTATTAAAGAAAGGGCTTTTGATAAAATAACAATTTTCTATGAAGTTTGATTTCTCGATCTTAAAAGCCTTTCGATCAAATTTTATAGAAAATCGCTATTTCTAAAAAAACAATCTTTGTTTCGTAATAACTCAATAACTGCTAAAGTAAGTGTCTATGTGACAGGAACTTCACACCTTTGAGCGGCTCCAACTCCAATCAGGTCTATATTGAAACTAGTCCATTTTTTAGAAATGAGTGATAATCTAAATTCATGACGAGCTAATAGTTAAGTAGGTAAATAATCGCGATGTAAGAGCATCTGTCAGTTTTCAAAGTACAAGTTCATTACACGATTGAATGAGCAGTAGAATTTTGTCGAATTGCTCTTGATACATTTTCATCTGCGGATCATCGGATGTCAAAAATGCTTGATGTCCAATATCAATGGCTTTCTTTGCATGGTGAAAAGCATCATCGACTTTGTTTGAACGTTCGAAAATAATTGACATATTAAAATGAGTTTCAGCTAGATATGGATGATTTGGCTGCAGTGCCTGTTCTTGAATATGAAGTGCTTTTTCGAGACAATCAAATGCACTCGAATGATCGTTCATTGCCGAATAGAGCAAACTGATGTAATTATATGTTACTGCTAAGCGAGGATGAGTAGGAGGTAAATATTTCCGTAATATTTGCATGGCTTGCTCATGACTAGTCCATGCTTCTGATATTTTCCCCTGCTTTTTTCGTACCCAACCAATATAATTGTAACGATCCACTGCTATTTGATAATTAAGCGGACCCAATGGCTTTGTGGAGTTATCAAGATATAATGTGACCAACTTATTCACTAGTTCGACCATGATCGAATGAAACTCATCCTCAGTAATTTGTTCGTTTAAAAGCACATTTTTAATTGTCGAAAACACAACGATAATGTCATTTTTGACTTCATCAGCAACGTCATTACCATCGGGTACTTTTATACAAAATGCCATCTTTAAATGTTCTCTTGCTCGATTCCAATCCTTCTTGTGTAACATAAACAATTCGGTCAGCTGATAATGTATGGCTTGTATGAGGTTCAAGTTATTGTCACGTGTAGCTTTGTCAAGCAGTATTTCATATATGATAATTGCCTTGTCATATTCACCCATATTGAGAAGTAACTTACTCAATCGCCATGTAGGATCCATGTTGATTTGAAGATCCACAGTAAAGAAAGAGCTGAGATCCATACGCATATGTTCTGTCAATTGACGAAGTTGTTTATCATCGGCATCAGTCAATGTTAAATAAACATGCCAAAATCGTGAATTATTATTATTATCATCCAATGGTTTTATTTTGCCGATACGAAAGACAGTGTGCATTGAAAAGAGTATTTCTTTTTCTTTCTCTTGAAAGTAGCTGAGTTTATCAAGTGATGCAAATGGTACCGATGATATCGATGGATCAATAGTCATTTCAAATAGAATAGCCACTTTTTCCGATTTCTTTAGAGCATTTTGAGCAAAACATAGCGCAACTTGTTTGGATGTACTTGTAGACAAAAAATTGTTGAATGAAATAAGACCACCTTGATTTTTTTTCATTCGATGAAATGCCGCATACAACATTCTACTTAGATTCAAGAGAAATGTAATCCATTATTAATACATAAGCTGTTCTTCTTCAATGTGTGCAAAAATAATTTATCGTTAGTGTTTTCTCTCCTCGACCTTTCGTAATTTGAACGGAACAAGCAAAATAATTGTTTTTTCAATGTTAAACTGCGCTTCCCTCTCATTTACAGTTTCACATTGGAAGTTTCTTACGTTTTTTTTGTTTCTAAAACTATCAGTTATTGTCGAAATATCTTCGTTGTAGGGAGCACGAACTGTGAATAATGATAGAGTAGATAATGGACGATCACTTACCCTTGACCTCGATAAACAGTCAATATCTGATGGTTGTTCATTGCCTTATGAAAATGTTCGAGTTGTCGATGAAGATCATAAATGAAGAAGCTCATCTTCATCAAAATCTCTACATCTTGTAAGCCCAAAGCTCGATTCAACGTTGAATAAGTAAAACATTCACGTGTGTACCACCAAATGGCTGATGCATAACTGTAATTTTGTTTGAATTCTTCGATTATACATAATTCTGTAGTATTTTCGGCATAGTGGATTCGACAAAAATCAACCAAATCTTTTTTAGCTTGTTCAAGACTGGCATTATCATGTTTTATACTGAGTAAAATTTCTTTAAGTAATTGGGAATACATGAATGATGCATCGAGATGATTAAAATTCTTCAATATTTGTGAACCAAGTATCTGAATAGAAATCGACTCGTAGTCACACTGCTTTATGTCTTCTTTGAGTTGATCACAAATATCTCGAATATTTGTATAGATATCCTTGATCTTACGATGGTCTTCGTTTCTCGCCCATTGTTCATGTTTGGATTTGTTCAAACAAAATATATAAATCGAATCGAGTTTAATGTCATGTTCGATTTGAGGTACTAGTCGTTGAGCCAATGAGCCCGAAACAATCAAAAAAATCTTTTCTTCTTTAACTTTGCTGTTAATAAACTCGATACATGCATCACATGTGCGAAATAATGTGATTGAATTAACAATATGACGAAGAGCTGTGATTGAAGTTTGAATATCATTATCTGTTCTATTTCTACGGCTATGTTTTGAGTCCACCCAAATAATAATACAATTTTCAATGAAACGAACTATTTTTTGTTGGTGAGCCATGCTTTATTCACATATGCTAATCATTTCTTTCTTCGTCGCTGAGTAGTTATTTTAAAATATTTTCTATCAAATGATCGATCAAAAAGACAAGATATTATGTCTCACTTCGCTAGCTTCATTATCCGTCAATGAAACATGCTCTTTGATAGAAAGTGACAACAAATTATGCGTTGAAAAAAAAGTTGCTAATACCGATGCACGTGTTTTTAGTGTAGAAGGTGGAGAAAAAAAAACATTGCTAAGATGAAATATATGATACTTTATACGTTTGCAAAGAATATGTAAATCTAATATTCATCGTGATCAATAAAAGATAAAGAGATATTATTTTTTGCAGAGAAGAATAGAAATCTGTATTAAATATATAATATCATAGTCACATAGTATAGTAAATGTGTGATACACTGATTGCTTGATCGTTACTTTGCAATTGATTTTTATAAACTCTGTTTAATCTCATTCATTATCGATCTATCTAACTGTCAGTCTGTTTTTGTATTATTTACCTTTAAACATGACTTTCTAGTGTTCTCTCTCTTCCAAACATTTCTTATTATCGATTTAGACCAAGATACCAAGGCATCAATGTCGAAAGAAAAGCAAAAGTTCTTATTTTTTATTCTCTTAGCAATAAGCTGTTTTCTATAATCTTGAAAGTCATGTGCATTTGCATAAACAATGAGAAGAAATGAAAAACGTGAAATAAGAAATCCGTACATTCAATATTGGTTTTGATTGTATTAAGATTGATGAAGGAGGTTGA